CCGCGCGCTCCCGACCGCGCGGGCGCGATCCCTGGGAGCGCTGGGCTCTGCAAGGAGAGCGACAGCGATGGTTAGAGCACAGCCACATGCGAACGAGCTGCAGTTCCAGCGAGCAAGATAACACCATTGTATTATTATATATTCCACTAACTCCAGAAAACTGATCACGCTGGGACGTAACGCGGCAGGGGCCTCAACAGCAACGGGGAAGCAGTGTCCGTCCGAGACGGCCGCTGCTCCCCTCCATGGCACTATCTGCTGCCCAGGAGAGCAGGCAGCGCCCGGGCTCCCTCCTCTCTCCTCTTCCCACCTCTGCACCAAGCGCTGTCCTCCCGCAGCACAGCTGGACTCGCTGCAACTCACCCGCTCGCGGTTCCTCTTTAACGAGCAGCTTCCCAAGCCCTGCCGGATGGGAACTCGCGCGGTTCCCTTCTCGGAAACTCCTGCAGCACTTAGGGAAACTAAGGCAGAGACTTTATGTAAGATGCTCCTATATTTTGTCAGACTTCATGGAAACAGCAGAGATGCAGCATCCTATGACACAGGCACCTGAAGGCAGGTTTTTCTACACTTCCATTGGCAACTGCTGCACCAAAATGCAGCTTTCCTGCAAACTGATCCAAAACCACGATGCAAAACCCAGATCCCAAGCTGTGTAACTTTGCCTGTTTCACTGCTGGCTGCCTGCCACGCAGAGCCTCCCCGCACAAAGAAGAGAAAGCAAAACCGCAGCGAGGCTGCTCCGAGCGCGCGGCCCGCGCCCGCCTTCCCCCGATCCCGTCAACACGTCACGCTCGCTCCCGCCGCAGCGCTCCGAGCTCCGAGCGAGAGAAACCCTTCACCTATGCGCTGCATTTCTGCGTTTCCTTCACTGCAAGCACTCAGTGTCCCCAGATAAGCACAAGGCCCCGCATCTTCTGGCAGCCTTGGTCTTATCCTCCGAGGACGGTGTCTGCGAGGGCAGCGATCCCAGATTTCCACCCTGCAGCTGCGCAAACGCGCTGGTGTGTTTTCCTTTCCTCCCCGGCCCTGGCTACTCCATGCCTGTTTGCGTTAGAAGTCGCCCCTTAGATATGACACCTCTGCGTGCGTTTTTCCATGCACGCCCTTGCTCTTTATCGGCGCAGTGCAAATCCGGGGTGCAGAGCTGCCTGTTTGCTTGTTTAGCTCGAGAGAGAGCCTCGTTCACTGGGTCAAGGGCCAAACTAAAGCAGCATTCCCAGAAAACAGGCCGGAAAAGGCACCAGGCTGGAGAGGAGCAGAGCAGGCTGCGGAGCAGAAATGGCACTGGACAACTTCTATGTGCAGCTGCTGCGGGCAGAGGACCCCGCAGCGGTGCCGAAAAGGGGCAGCTCCACAACCGGAGCTGGAAACGCAGGGGCCAGAAGGGCTTCCGCTCGCTGCAGCCCCGAGCCCTTTTCCCAGGGAAACCTGCCGGCAGCCTCTGCATCCACCTCCTTCCTCTCTGCCTTGAGAAATGGCCCGAGCTCAGGCCAGACCCTGCGTTTTCCTACGCACGGAGAAGCGCACGGTCCCCGCAGGCTCATCTGTAAGACCGAGCGAGGCCGTTGCCACACGCCGCCTCCGCCTCCCTTAGCGCTCGGCGGCACCGCGCGCGTTCCCGGCCAGGCTCCAACCTTTCCTAAAGGCTGCTGACGCTCCGGGCGCTGCTGCCGTGTCCCTGCTCCGCCGGCTGCTCCTACCCTGGGCGCTCCGGCGGCCGCGGAGCTCCTTCCTCCGGCTGGCCCTGGTGCCCGGCCAGCAGCAGCTCCCGTTACAGCCCCGCGCGTTCAGCTCCCTCCCTCGTTTCAGGCCAAATGGGAAGCTGGGCACCTGCCCAGCAAAGCCTTTGACGACACCGGCCCGCGGCGCCACGTGGATGCAGACCGTAATCCCAAGCGAACCTCCTGGTTCGCCGGCACCGCAAGCGGCGTCCCCTTCCCTGGGGAAACCCCCAAGCCTCCCTGTCCAGGGCTCCTTCTCCCATGCCGCCCGCTCCGGTGGCGGGTGTGAAATCATTGGGGTGACAGGACCGGACCGGCCTCGCTGCCAGCCCTCCCTCTCCTGCCTGAGCATGTTATGGATCAGTCGCTCCCACAAAACACACTGAGAAGAACGGAGCATTTTCCTAAGACAAGGACGAGCAAGCGAGCGCTGTGCTCACGCTGGAAGGGCACAGCGGGAGCCAGCCCCGCAGATGGTCACTGCCATTTACTTCATGAGAGCGCCGCACTTCTCTTTTTTGAAGGGAAGTTTCCAAAAGCAGCGGCTTGCTCGGCCTGTTGGACCTCCCCAACGACTCCCAGCACGTCCAGCTGGCACCTCCAGCCTGCCGTGATGGGATTTAAGCTCCTAAATCACCCCTGTGCTTATGAGTTTCATGAAGATTCCTCTCCAACCAGGGAAATCTGACTTACAAGTGTGCTTCTCGGGTGAGTTATCTCCTATTTTGGCTGCCAGGAGAGCACTTGGCTTAGCAATAACCATGGCACCGCGATGTCCACTGTGAAAGACAGGACCTGCTCCCCTCTGTGAGCCTGGGATCAGACAGCTAGGTCTGACATCCCTTGGTGCCGCCTGGAAAAGCCAAGGCAGCTTCCAAACAGTCTTTAGAGTCAGGTTTAATGGTATAACTTGCATGATAGATTTTATGTAAATAGCTCTGGGTGTCCCTGCTTGAGCAGGGGGTTGGATTAGATGATCTCCAGAGGTCCTTTCCAACCTCAACCCTTCTGCGATTCCAAGGAGACAGGACGGTGAGGAGCAAGGAGCCAGCACCCGACGCGAGGAATCAGGGAACGCCAAGGCGACCTGAGGCACCACTGTCTCCCTAGGCCTCATCTCCAACGCTGCCATCTCCCCGTGGCACCTAACGCCTATGAGGAACGCGACACATATAGTGCCCGCAGGACTACATATATTTATACCCGAGGAGTACAAAAGAGAAAAAAAAAAAGAGGAGTACAGAGGTGCTTACTCACCGTGAGCAGCCCGCATGGTGCTCCTCTCCCCCGCGCTGCCCCTCGGCCCTTCTTGGGCGCAGGAAAAACCTTTGCTCCGGTCGCCGGCAGATAAATCATCTCTCTGGGTTGCTTCATGCTGGAAACACCCGGTAACCCTTCCTTTTTGGCGCCCACCTACAGCGATTGCTAAAGGTGAGCGCTCCTCTTGCCGCAACCGGCCGGTGATTCAGGCAGCGCCAAGGGGCGCGAGGAGCCTCCTCGCACAACGGCGAAGAAACAAAGTCCGCCCCGAGAGACGGCACGAGCACCCAGCGCCTGTTAGAGCCCCTGCGGAGTCATCACCCATCGTACCGGCCACAGCGACAACATCTGCAGAGCCTTAATTGGGAATGTGGGGCAGGCACCCATTAGCCTCCACTCTCCTGTTAACGACTTTCTAGCCTCTCTCTCTCCTCATAATTTCATTAGAGCCATCAGGACAAGCTTTCTGCGAGCCCATAATGGGCCCTGACGAGGAGCCCTCGCGAATAGAGACATTTCCATTTACTCGTGCTCGTAACTCTGTGGCTGCACTTAACGGGGCTTTAATAAATCATGGGGGGAACACACACTCGGTCAGGCAGGGATAAGGAGGAGTTTTCCTTGGAGCGGGAGGGTCTGGTCGCCTTTCCAGGACCCTCCTTGTGCACAGCCAAAACGCACCACGCTGATGAGGAAGCAAAGCAGAGATGTGGGAAGTTTGGGCTAGAGAAGGGACTCGAATTTCCAGCCTGCCCTGTGCTACGAGACGCTCCTGTGACTTCCAGGAACTCATGCCTTGCACATGGCAGGGAAAAAGAGAAGGAAGATTACTGGACAACTTTAGCCCAGGAACAGGCTGAAGGAGCCTCCGTGCACTCCCCAGGGGCCTTCAAGGCAAAACCTGTTGCAAAGAGGACTTGAGCTTCCCCCATTGCTTCTTTCCAAACTTACGGAAGGTTTAAAGTTATCCAACTCTCTCCCATGCAGCATTTGAGAGAGAAAACAAATAAATCCCTCTTGCGAGCAGGGATTTTGATCAGTGGGTTTGTCACGCGGAGCATCCCTGCTCTGCAGGGCGAGGATGCTCCGACATTCCTGCCTCCCCGGCCACTTCCCCTCACAAGAACTTTTCCGCCCATGTAATTAAGCTCATACTGAAAATCCAGGGCAGATGAACCGCTTCCAGCTCCAGGAGAGCCAGGAGGTTTCCTCCTGCCCCCGCAGGACGCGGTGTTGCCACCTCCGTCCCTCTGCGCAGGACGCGGCTCCGGCCCCGTCACTTTCCAGCCAACAGACAGGGCTTTTCCTTTCCCCCTCCAAGCAGCTGCCACCGCAGCGGGCAAAGAGTTTCCACAAATCCCCGGGATCGCGATGGAAGGGATGCGCAGAGCCGCAAACGCGCCGACCTCGGTTCCGTTCATGCCTCCCGCGCGACCCACTTCATTCACATCCGAGCGAAGGGCCCCGGTGCCGCCTGGCCCGGGGGGCGGCGGGCACGAAACCTCCGCT